TATATTTCATGAAAAAAATACAACAAAGTATATTTCATAAAAAAAGAGTATACATATATTTGTTCAATATGTAGTGTATTAGTTTTTTTAATAATAAATGAAATTGTCTTTTTTTTTTAAAAAAAATACATATTTCACGGACTACAGGCCCACTCTACCATGGACCTGAAGAGCAAACCTAATGATAAAATAAATCTCAATCCTATTTCAAATAGATTTCGTACAGTTGACAGATGTAATTTGCGTTTATATTGTGATTTTTAGGAAATAAAAGGGAAAATGTCATCTAAAGACCCTTATATATTTTAATATCAGAGAAGAACCTTGAAAATTTGACATTACTGCACCCCCCGGGACCTACGTGAAAATAATATTTTGGGAAAAAAGACATAATTAAACCTATAGCATTTTACATGCGAGCTTTGCTCCGATATAAACAATAAAACATTTATCTCTTAACAAGTTATTATATGTAATGAACAAGCAAATATTCATTATGAAAAAGTTATAAAAATCAATAGGCTTGATTTAATTTTACAAGTCTTGCTCTGGCGTAAATAAATAATGAGCAAGACATTTGGTTATTGGCAAGTTACCATATGTAATTAACAAGCAGATAATATTCATTCATGGATAATTTACAAAAATTGAAAGACTTAATTTAATTTTATAAGTTTTGCTCCAGTATGAATAATAATGCATTCTGCTATGAACAATAAATATGCCTGTGAGTTCATATAAGTTGTTCATGAATGAATATCCACTTATTAATTATATATGGTAACTTATTAAAAGCTTGATGATTTGTTGTTTATATCAAAACAAGTCTTATAAAACACTACAGGAGTAATTATGTCTTTTTCCCCAAAATCTTCTTTTCAAATATACTCAAGGGTGCAGTGATACTAAAATGCTAGAAGAGAGCTTAGATGATATTTTTTTATCAGATAGAAATGAGACCTTAAGAATATGTCATATTTAAGTTGTGTTATCTCTGAAAACTAGAGGCGCTCGTGCAATGAATAACACCAGAAAAAAGTAACATATATGTCACATTTTTTTATGATTGTGTGCTTTTTAACTTTAAGTTTTACTGCTTAAACTGAGTCAAGCCAATTACGGATCCAATTTATTTTTGAGGTATGTTCCTTTTAATTCTATTTATAAGTTATTTTTAGTATATTTTATCAAAATAAAAAAAATCTTAAACTCCATTAATTTTCTCTTAATAAAATTTAGCAAGCTTTTCACCTTTATCCCTAATAAATTTTATTAAATCTCATTAGTGATATTTATATTCAAGTTATTTAATAAGTGTAAAAATGTAAAGATAAATATTAAAAATTGATAAGTGCTTTATAAATAGGATCAAATATTTTCTTCACTCTCTTCTTTATAAATAAGATTAGAGGAGTATTTCATATTATTGTTGCATTAAAAAATGATTAAATTGCAGGGATAGATGTGGAAAAATATTTTGTTTGGTACAGTTGGCAATGATATGCAATTCATATACTTCACATGTGAGTTTGAATCTTGTCGTTAATGAGGGGAAATAGCCGGCAAATGATATGGTAAAAGTGCATCTTACACCAGTTAAAATAGAATCAGTACAGTATAGATAGTGCCATTGGTAGTAATTTTTCAACTCAAGTTTGAAATATATTACGATAAATTTTAAAAATAGTTGCTTTCTACTAAGCTTTCTAAAACAACAGTGTAAAATGTCTACTCTTGTACGTCTTGTATTATAATAATTTGATTTTTCACCAGTTACATTCACTTGTATATTAGTTTTCTTTTGTTTTTCTTGTAAGTATAAGAGATAAGCCATACTGATAGTAGAGAATATCTTTCTCAAGATATCAAGATTTTTTTTAACTAAATTGCTACATATATAAAAGTTAAAATATGAACCTCAAACTACTTGCTTAAATGATGAGAGCTTCTATCACTTGCAACATTTACTCAATTAGTTGGCCATTCTATATTAGTTTTAGAATTGATGTAAAAAATATTTTTTAACGGGTGTAGTATATGCAGTGATTATGAGATCCAACTCACATAAATTCTTATTTGAAACATATGGTATATAAAATAAAATTGTATAATCTATTAACAAAAAAGGGACCGTTATTTTTAGGTCAATGAAACTGAAAATTAAATCTCTTGAAATGAAGTTAAAAACCATTTGGTTTCAAGTGACCCTTGAAGGTTTAGTAGGGCCACCATATTCACATGCGTCACTTTTTGAAAACTTGAGTCACTGTCTCACACAGCGAGCCATTTGAGCAAGAGGCGCATCCTTACATGACAATTCATGTCGTGTTGGGGACCATACCCTCCCATGCTTTTTGTAAAAATGGAGAACCTTCATTTCAACTTCACATCATCCCACCAATAAAACATCCACAACATCTTCTTGTCTATATATTCCATGTTCCATGATAGCGTTTATCTCTTCTTTGAAAAGCTCAATATATCATCTTACTCTATACTCTTCTTGAATTAAAAAAAATGACAAATTTTCTCACTTATGGTATGAGCTTGAGAAATGAGCCACACTGTTTATTGATAACAAGAACTATTTTTATCAACGTTTATTGCATGTTGATGTAGGGATATTTTAATTAAGATTTTTTAAAAGATTAAAGAGTAATTTCACCCTTAAACTATAGGTTTATGAGTATTTGTGGCTCTGAATTTATTTATTATGTAATGTTCATCTTCAACTTTTAGAAATGGTGTAATGTTTTTTTATCATAAATAAAAGTTAACTTTGATTGTTACTTGATAAAAAATTATAAAAAATAATATAAAAAATTACATAAAAGAATTTGAAAAATTTTCTTAAACCTTTTCTATAAATTTGTGATTAACTAATAGTTAAAGCTTGCACTTGTTAATAGTAGAGATAATATTGTACTATTTTTAAAAGTTAAAAAAATATTATACAAAAAATAAGTTTAAAGTATTAGACATTCCTAAACCTATAGGTTTGAGGCAAATCTGCAATTTAATCCATTCTAAAATTGAAACAAAACATTATTTTATATAATATGTGTTCTTTTAGTCAATATATAGTAAAATTTGATGCATGGATTAGATAAGTATTAAATATTGTTTAAAAGAATATCTATTTTTTATTAAAAAAATAGGTGAGTTGAATACCAAGACTCGCTAGAACTAGTGCATGTTTTTGGGTCAAAAAAATATTTACAAAGATACTTATAAACTTATAAATTATTTATTAGTAACATTTTTTCATATCAATAATAAGATTTAAACTCATAATTTTATGAATTATAGGTTAAATTTTTATTATTTGGAATAACTTTTCTTGGCTAAAATAATATCTCATTTTTCATGAAACATTTAAGACTTCGTTACTTCTTTGGCGGTGTCATACCAAAGATGACCTTCACACACACACCCTCGCAATTGTATATATTTTTGCTTTTTTCCTCTCCAAAGGATTTTCTTGGATGCTTCAAACTCATCTCTTGAAAGGTCCAACGTGTCACTCGGCCCAAGAACAGAAAGGTCCAGTGCATTACAAAGAGCCAGGATGAGAAGGGAACCCAGGGGAGAATGACACTTTAGGCTCCGAAATGATAAGTTAATTGGGCTATTGCCCTCCTATTTACCAAAAAAAAAGGGGGTCCATAAACCTTTCAAAAATTTAATGAAAAAGGCCCTTGTGCGAGTATGAATCAAAAAGTAAATTACCTAGATGCTCTTAAACTTGTTTGGCTGAGGACTTTTTTTTTTTTTTTTTAAGATTCACAACTTGTTGGAAAGTAATTTATAACTGACATTCATTCTTTTTAATATGGATTATTGCTCATAAATGTAAATAAGACCGGTAAAGTTTAACAATAATTTACTCAAATTTAAGTTTGGGGAGCAAATTCCAAGGGCACTTGAGTAATTTAATTTTAAATTTTTGCCTAGTTAAAGAACTCCGATCCTTCTTTTTTTTTTTTTTAATGTAAACTTTGATCCTCTTTTTAAATCTGAACTATTTTGGTCACTTACACAACTGTCTTGATAATCAAACCATAAGTTAGTGTTTTGGTTGGTTCTATGAGTAGTCCAATTCTTAATATCATGATGTCTTGTCTCCTTAACTCCTCGGGCGTCACTGTTACCTCAATGCCTAATGCGTGATGTTCAGCTTCTATCTACTCCTTTGTCTATGTAGGGATTCATGGACAAGGACTGAAAATTTCTGCACTTCCATTCAGTGTTGGGTTAAAATGTGTAAGCTAGTTATTGGTTGGAATAGTACAAGGAATATATAGTTGATGATTGAACGATGAGTACCTAGATTGGTGTTAACCTTAAGTTCTATTCTAAATCTTTTCAAATAATCTTGGTGGATAAAAATTTGTTATCAATCACTCAATACATTGTATTTCTTTAAAACCTGCTTGTTTAAGATTAAAAAAATGATTTTGACAAGCTAATTGTACCTTGTCAAAATAAATTAGAAAGACATTATTTATACATTCTTATGTTTACCGTAATGTTCTTCCAATAGCTCTCACATGTAATTTTTTTTAAAAAAAATTTTAAACAAACAAGCCCTAAATTAGGTGAGTACAAAGAAGAGTTTTTACTTGGACTTTTTCTCCGCGAACATTGCCCACAATCTTATTCACTTTTTTCTTACTTTTTAATATTTTCATTATTACTCTTGATAAAAAAATAATATAAGCTAGAATAACATTTTGCATTGCTATTTGGTTTTGATTAGAAATTAAATATATCATATATATTATATAAAAGTTAAGGTGAATCATACTATTTATAAATTATTATAAATAACACTACTTGCTTTTATGTTGACATAATATTAATATTTAGTATTTAATAATAAAAACTCGTAAGATTGTTAAGGAAAAATTAAAAGTAAAAAAAAAAAAAAAACAATGAATCGTGCCTGGCAAGTTTATCGAGCAAGCTCAAAATTAGGTGGGAACCGAACAAGTTGGATCCTCTGAGCAATACATGCGCGGAGAATTTTGGCGGTTGCGTTCTATTGAAAACTGACCTCACTACATAACCGATTCTGTATAAAACTCAAGCATTTTCACTCTAAACTTGATTTGACAGAGCAGGATCGTCTTGTGCTCATGACGGACCAGACGGAGTTCAGTGTTCTATGCAGCCTCTTCACATGGACTCAGAGAAGCAAGTCCTCTGCCAAGAAGCGCTCCAAGTTCCGCAAATTCCTCGATACCTTCTGCAGGGACAAAGATTATTTCAGTGCGATTCGGTTGATTCTTCCCAATCTCGACCGAGAGAGAGGCTCCTATGGGCTCAAGGAGTCGGTTCTCGCTACCTCTCTCATTGACGCTCTTGGGATGTCCAGGGAGTCCGAGGACGCTCTGCGTCTCATCAATTGGCGCAAAGGTGGTGCAAACACCGGTGCCCATGCTGGAAATTTTGCTCTTGTCGCAGCTGAGGTTCTGTTTAACCTTTTCCTGTGAATTGTTTACGTTTTCTTTGTGGTATCATGGTGGTTTCGTCTTGTTCGGTTAACGAAATGCAGTTTACCTGTTTCACTTTCTTTGTGGTTTTCCTTTCTGTTCATGTATTGGAGCTCTTCAATCTAATATGGACTTCGAGATTTATGAACTTAATTAATATGCCGTTAGTTGAACTACAAATTTGTGAATGTGCATCTTAAAGTGAAGTGATCCACCTCACGAGATAAAATCCTTCACAGAATTCTTGTTTTGTTATCGGAACCTATGGTTACTCCTAGTTGGAGTTTGCGCTTTATCTCAGGTTCTCGGGTGGTACTCTCGACATTTATGTTCCTCCTTCGAGTTACCGGATTCCATGGTTACTGATTGTTGGTCACTCGATATCTATACTTCAATTATTCCTTACATTCTTTCAATGTTGAGGAGTCTATTGTTAGAGGCTAAGCATGTTGCGTTGTTATGTTGCATTGCTGGGATGATTGATATTGTTGGTTAACAGTTGAAGTTATGTTACGAATCATGCACCACCATGTTCTTGGACTTGCATTTAGGAGTTTTGGTTTTTTACAAGACAAGAGAGAATCGTTTGTTGATGTGAATAAATGAAAGGAAAATAATAACATGAATAACATGTTTCCAATATCACATTCTTCTTCGAGAAACAGGTGCTGCAACGTAGGCAAGGGTTGGCATCTGGTAGATTGACAATAAGGGAGTTAAATGAGCTGCTTGATAAACTAGCTTCAAGTGAAAACAGGTTTACCATTTAATTATTTCTATGCTTTATCACTGTCTGTGACTGCTAACTGGGTTTTAGACATTGCTAAATATCTCTTGTTAGTCCATTGGTTTTCAGAAGCCAATGGTGTCATAATTCATCATAAGTAGATTAATGATGCTTATAACGTGTTATTCTGTATAATAGCTGGTAAAGGACCAGTTAATGGGAAAGAAGGATTAATAGGCATCAACAAAATATGCGTACCATGAAAAATCCTTCCCTCCCCTACTTCCCCCCCCCCCAAAAAAAAAAAAAAATCATTTGAAAAATATGCAGAATAAAAAGAAACTGTTTGTTTTTTTCATAATCTTTTCACCGCTGAATCTTGAAGTGGCAAGGAGTCATGAAATAAAACCATCAAGTTTGTTGGCATCTCTGGTGTTGGGAATGTCTTTTGCCTTTGAGTTTGATTTTGATGATAAGAGTTTACTTAGTGATCCCAAAGAAGGGGTAAAGCCTTTTATTGCAAGACTCTACCAAAGCAGTTCCCCCCCCAACCAGAATGTGTAGTTTCTTGGCAAGCTGCAGCCTGCAGATGGGATTGAGCAATGTTTCTATATTGTTGCTAGCCATGATGCTAGTTGCTATTTTAAAACAATATTTTATTGTGTTCCCTATTTTAGAAAGCTTTTTACTTTTGTTATATAATACAAAGTAAAATCTTGCAGAATGTTTAACTTGAAGATCTTGCCCACTTGCTTATGCGTCTAACATGTTTTCTTATTTTAAGTTTATTAAATGATGTTAAAATATTCTTCTGGTTCTAAGGCTGTGTTAGATTTTTCATTGTGATTCTTCTATGGCTTGACCATTGTTACAGGTCTGAGAAGACTTCAGTTCTTTCTACCCTTATTCAAAAGACAAATGCTCAGGAAATGAAGTGGATTATCATGATAATACTCAAAGGTATGCTTATTTTATGCCAGAAAATTATCTTCTATACCTTGTGTATGTTGTTAACATGACTTAAAATTCTCATGCAGATCTAAAGCTTGGAATTAGTGAAAAGAGCATTTTCCATGAATTCCATCCAGATGCTGAAGACTTGTTTAATGTAACTTGTGACTTGAAATTAGTTTGTGAAAAGCTAAAGGATCGGAATCAACGTCATAAGCGACAGGTAGGTAGTGATTTTGAAATGTTTTCTGGACATATTTTCTTTCCTAACACACACACACACACACACACTCACACACACACTCACTCACTTATATGTGATGTTTTGCAATTCATGTAGCTGATCCCACCTAGTGGGATAAGGTTTGTTATTGTTGTTTGTGTGTGCTCTTGTTATATTTCAAATAAAAGTACATTTGAGATCAAACAATTGACAGCCTATTAGGAACGCATCTGTATGCTAAGTCTTGGCCATTTTGCCATTCTGAATTTATAATTTTAGTTGATTTTGTAAAATTTTTTTGGCCAAATATTTTTTAACATACATCTTTTGAAGACTGTATTGTCGTTCTTTCATAGCTTTTTCCCCTGTTGTTTTCGGGGAAGAGGGGTTTTTTCAGATGCACACTGCTACTTATATATTCTTTATATAGATGGTTTTAAAAAGTTAAGGGCTTGTTTGCATATTTTTTAAAACACTTTTTTATATATATTTTTAAAATCAATAAAACATGTTGGAGATTCTTTTTAAGTTATTCAGAACTTTAATGGTTTTTTAGAACATTTATTTTTATGATATCATTCTACCAATTAGAAGGTTTCCTTGATGGAATTGTTGTAATTATGGATCACATGTCTTTCAGCCCTTAATATTCATTTACATCATATGACTCCCATGAGGATTTTTTTTTAAATAATTTTTTTTATAAAAAATTGTTTTTGGGGACCAACTATCCTGACAAATTTGCTGTTTTCTTAGATTTTGGAATCGTTCTCAGAACAAATAATTTAAAGGGATTTTTTTTTTTTGGCTTTGTAGTTCTTTGAAACTGTTTACCTAAATTGTCATGCAAATATTTATTGGAACTCAACAACTGAAGTAGGACCAAATAAGCCCAAAATTTTTTGTTCCTTGTCTGCAGGATATTGAAGTTGGAAAAGCTGTGCGCCCTCAACTAGCAAGGAGAGTTGCTAGTGCAACTGAAGCATGGAAAAAGGTTTGTTTTATTAGGCCTTTCAATTGCGTTTCCTAAAATACATATGGTATGTGAAGGAAAATATGGGTTCACCTTAGTGGGAAAGATGTGATGATTTTCTTGTTATATCATCACCTCCTATGCAAGTAATGGAGACTTCCATCCTACAGCACATAGAAAAAGGTAAAGAGAGGTCACTGAGCTGGCCCATGACCTGGCCCATGAATTATCTCAATCTATATTTTCAATTATCGCAAGACATCTTTCCCACTTGTGTTTCTAGCTCTATGACAACAATTGACAATGACCATCATTTCACTGTAGGTTATCTGCTAACATTATGCCTTCTTCTGTCTAAGGCAGCTTTTAACACAGACGGAGGAGCTAATATGATAACTATGTTGACTGGCTTGTTGTATCAAAATGCATGATTATTTTCCTGTGGCCTTCAATTAAAAAAAAAATGCATGATTATTTGCAAGATCTACTTCTTTGATTTATATGTTCACTCATATCTGTCTAATGCCCCTCGTCATTAGCTCCATGGGAAGGAAGTTGTTGTCGAGTGCAAGTTTGATGGTGATCGAATCCAAATTCATAAAAATGGAACGAATATACATTTCTTCTCAAGGCAAGTTCATGCATTTGTGCTCCCACAAATTTAAGCCTGATTCTTGTCTTTCTGAATTTGTACTTTATGCCCCAGAAAGATTTCTCCCCCTCATACTCTCATACAAGATTATCATAAATAAAGAAGTTACTTAAGAGTTAGTGTAATTAGGAGAGATACCCGTTAACTAATAACTATTTACAGATGGGTTGGGCGCTAATTGAAATTGGCTTTTGGTTAATGGAAATGTAATTCCCTGTTTCTCCTATCTCTCTCTGCCTCTCTTCCCTATCTTTCTCTCTTTTCCTCTCTTTCTCTCCCATTCTCTGTCCTGTCAGAATTATAAAGATCTATCACACTCTCTGTTTTTTTTGTTATATTTCTCACTTTTGAGTCATGAGGCTGATTGATTCTATTAAATTCTTTTTTATGTTGAAAAAGACACCTGGTGAATATCATGCTATGATTGTTGATTTTTTTTTTTTTGGTGGCTAATTTTTCCATTTGCTTTGGTCTTCTCAGGAAATTTTGTATTGTTAAGTGATTTAATTTTATTTAACTTGTTTTCTTAGTAGGGATCCGTGTGCTTGTGTATTATTTTTAAGTTGACTAATTCACTATTGCAGGAACTTTCTTGACCATTCAGAATATCAACATGGGATGTCAGACATCATATTGCGAAATATTCTTGTTGACAGGTAGATATTTTTGTCAATTTTTTGTTTTCTTGCCTAAATTTTATCTGTTTCATTTCTCTAAATTTTTTCCTCCTTCTTTATGCATTTATACTAATTCTACTCCTAAACTTTTTCATACCTTCTGTAAATAATTGGAGTCCCACATCGGGTAGTTGTGAATAATTCTTAAGCTACTCAAGTTTCATGTTTCTTCCCCCACATGAGTTTGTATTTAAGAGTGGTTCCCCATGCTTTCTTAGGTTTCCATTGCACCTCAACATCAACAAGGCATTGCAGGAATGTGCACACAGTTTCTGTTAAGACAACAACTTCTCCCCCCCCCCTTTTGGCCATAAGACAACAAAAACTCTCCAAAAGATGTATTCAGAGAAGATACATGATACTGGATCTCAATTCAGTAGAATCTGCAATTTTTTTGTCTATTTGTTTTTCCATTGCAGGGAAGCTTATCCACTGTTTTTTTATTCTTCCCCCCTTAAAAAGAAAAAGAGAATAAAATAACAAAACAAAAAATTTTATTATGAAATTGTTGCATGAGTACATCAAACACTAATATGTGAACCATATCCTTAACTATCATTATATTTGTCACTCAAGTGTTAGAAAACAATGAACTCTTTGTTTGATTAAGTTATGTTTTTAATTTATCTTTGCTTCTTGATTTTGATAGGTGTATTCTTGATGGTGAGATGTTGGTTTGGGATAAATCCTCTAACCGTTTTGCCGAATTTGGTTCAAATCAGGAAATTGGTATTTAGTGTTTTCTGGCTTAGTCAAACTTTTTCACATGCTTTCATCTTATAGATTTTATTTTCCAGAGCATTTTTTCTTACATTTTTTTTTTGTCTTTTGCAGCAAAGGCAGCGAGGGACGGGCTTGATAGTGATAGACAGGTTCTTGCTTTTGAATTTTGTCATTTTATTGTGGTAGAAATCGATAGTTTAACTTTTTCTCAGTCTTAAATTTTCTCCCTGATGCAGTTATGTTGTATCCTTGAACTAGATGGGTTTACAACCATTCAATTCAGCTTTCAAGGGCTTTTTTGTTGGTTGAGTCTCAATGGAAGAATGGTTAACTAATTGTGCATGGTTTGGGAATTTGCTTATGCAACATTCAAGATTGTATCTCTATCCCTTGACTTGAGAATGGCTAGACGTTGCATTTGATATCCTTTATGTTGGAGATACAAGTGTAATACACCAGACTTTGAAGGAAAGACACGAGCTTCTCTGTAAAGTTGTGAGGCCCTTGAAGGGTAGTTTGGAAATTTTAATACCTAATGGTGGTCTCAACTCTAATTGTCCATCTGGTAAGGTTCTTTTGGGAAATTATTGTTATCTTTTTGTTTTCATTTTTCAATTTGAGGGAAGGTTTTTCCACCTCTTCATGTTAGTAAATGTTCATTGGATACATAAATCGAGTCCGTAAACAAATAACTGCTCGGTTTTAATATTTTGCAAATTTTCACATGCTCTATTGATAATGTAATGACATGAGAATTAACATATAGTGCATAAATTTATGACTTAGCTATGTGTTTATGCATGGATCAGGCCTCTCACCCATGATGTTATGCAGGGGATGCTTGTTGGTCATTTATTGCTCGTAGTGTGGATGAAGTTGAGAGATTTTTCAAAGAAACTATTGAGAATAGGTAGCAAAAAGCCACATTCTTTTTTGCATCTTAGAGTACATGAGGATATTTGAAGCAGCAACAACAACAACAAAACTAAGCCTTATCCCACTAGGTGGGGTCGGTTACATGAATTGCACGATATCATTATGCTTTATTATCAACCAAGCTTTTATGAGGATATTTGAAACACGTTCTGTTATTTCTTCTCAAAATCCCAGTTTTCTTTCGTGACTTGATCATAGACAGTGAGAAGTAGGATAGTTTAGAAAGACCTAACCATCTAACATGTAACTGCAGTTGCTGCGAATATTGCATGGCAGTAAGGGTAGTTAGAGATTTAGAAGAACTGAAGTTGGGTTCAATGATGGGTTGATCACTTTTTGAATCACAGAGGATGGTCTAGTTTATGGTTAGATGTGTAATTAGGATTGTGGAGCATGAGAATTATGATAACGGTTCTACTTTTGCATTTGTGGGGATTCAGAGATTAGTGTTATGATTCTCTTATTGTTCAAGTTTCAGGGGTGCAATATACAGAGAGGAGTTTGTATAGTTTGGGAGTCTTCTTTTCAGATTTCTCTTACTGTTCATTGTATAGATAAGGAAGATAGATATCTTTAGAGTTCCTTGCAATTTATCTTTATTTTGGGAGTTTATCTGTACTTAAACTAGTAATAATTTTTCCCATGTAGCTGACCTTATTTAGTAGGATAAAGCTTGTTGTTGTTATTGTTGTATTATTATTATAAAACAATAAAAATATACAAAACTGGTTAGTAGAGTTTATCTTCAGCCCTCACACTATGCTTTCTATGTTACTTTAATTTTGAATTATAGTATCAATATCTGCTGTGTATGCCCCTATGTAAGCATATTTCACATGTAACCTGTTCTTGTAATATTAATTCAAGCTGCAGAGATCTGAAGTTAATGGTAGTTTTTTGTGGTGTTTAATATATTTGTTAGCTTCTGAATGATAGTCTGATGTAGTTAGCTTTAATTTATTCTCTCATTTTACTTTAAAAAAACACGCATACGCCAACAATTACACGTGCTTCTTGTAAAGGGTTTTGTTTTCTCCTCCATTTAGAGATGAGGGCATTGTTCTGAAAGACCTTGGTTCCAAATGGGAACCCAGTGACCGAAGTGGGAAGTGGATGAAATTGAAGCCAGAGTACATACGTGCTGGTTCTGATCTGGATGCGCTTATCATAGGTATATAATTTCCTGCTAGCCTTCCATGCATTCTAGAGAGCTGTTTTTGTCATTGCTCATTTGCCAGTGTTGTTTTGACTTTGTGAAGGTGGCTATTATGGCTCTGGACGAAGAGGAGGGGAGGTTTGGTCACTCATCCCTATTAACTTACCTTTAATAATTCTTTTTCTGCCTATGAAGTTATAGTGGTGTGCATCTCATTTCAGGTTGCTCAATTTTTGGTGGGCCTCGCGGAGCGTCCCTCCCCTAGTGCTCATCCTAAGCGGTGAGATTTATTTAATTTTTTTTTTCTCAATGTAACATCTGCCACGCCAGTTTAAGTAGTTTTTCCTGGTTACCATTTCTCTTGTCTTAGTATCATTTGTTTAGGACATATTAGATCTGCTGCATGTGAATAGTTTTCGTCAATTGTTACATTGTTGGACCATCTGGGTTCTGGGCGCATGTTAGAAGACATTTGATTCCTGTTTATCTACTATCCTACTTTGCAAACATGAAAAGAACTTTTTAAGGTTTTAGTTAAAGATCTAACTTTTAACTTATTTCTGCAGTTGATGATGGGAAAGAAAGGTAGTTTATTTAACATATGGAATTATGGATATGGTCTGCCTTTTTCCTACCTAAATTGCTACGGAAATATTATTTGACTATTTTCTTCTGAAAGGGCAAGTTTTCACCATGGAGACGTGGAACTAGTTTTTTGTATAAAAATGCCAGAACTTAAATCTTAACTTATTTTGACTAAGACAGTACCTAGAAGTTAATTAACTATGCATAAATGAACCGCAAAAAGATTAGCCACATCACAATCTTCTGCTTGAATTAATGAACCACGAAATAGCTTTTTTATATAATCTTCTGCTTGAATTAATGAACCATGAAATAGCTTTTTTGGGTTCTATACAAAGTGATCTATAGATGGTTAAAATCAGGTGTTTCTTTTCACCGCAGATTTATCTCATTTTGCAGAGTTGGTACTGGACTTTCTGATGATGAACTTGATGCCCTAGTAACCAAGCTGAAACCATATTTCAGGTAACTTATATATGTTGATTAAGTGTGATGGATGCCCAAGTGAGATGAGGAACCTTCTGATAGAGACTTGGTAGTATGGGATACCAAGTCTCACATTGAGTAGTATGGGATGCTCAATGGGGTATATAAGTGGGTTGGTTCTCCCACTTTAACAGCTAGTTTTTGGGGTAGGGTTTCCCATCTCACTTAGGTACCCATCAATTGGTATTAGAGCCTAGTTGTTGGCAGTTTCAAAGAGGGCTACCCACAGAGGGTTCTGACCAGAAGGAGACCGAGTTAATTTCTGTGGAGTATAGCCGTTGAGATGTCGGCTTTCCATGGGGGCTAATTGATAGAGACTTGGTAGTATGGGATACCAAGTCTCACATTGAGTAATATGGGATGCTCAATGGGGTATATAAGTGGGTTGGTTCTCCCACTTCAATAGTTAGCTTTTGGAGTAGGGTTTTCCATCCCACTTAGGTACCCATCACCTTCTCCCAGAAGTTACCTATTTTGGTGGGAGAACCAACCTACTTGATTAGCCCATAGAGCATTCTGTACTAATCAATGCAAGACTCATGCATCCCATACTACCTTGGTTTCTGTCAAAATTTCTAATGAGGCTCATGAAATTCATCATTGCTATTCCCGTGATCCTTTTCCTGGAAATTTGAGAAGAGTGCAGCTAAAAATGGACTATAGTAGACATTTATGTGATGTTTCCAAATACTAATTGGTCAGGTTTGCTTGTTCATAGTGCTTGTCTGGTATGCTGTGATTAAATGAAATCATGTGTTGAAGATTGAAGGTGTAGTTTGTTAATTTTCTTCATGCTATAGTGGGTTGTTTTCCCTGACAGGAAGTATGAATACCCAAAGAAGAAGCCACCAAGTTTTTATCAAGTGACTAACCATTCAAAAGAACGACCTGATGTGTGGATTGAGAGCCCTGACAAGTAAATATATTCATTCTGATGTCTCTAGTAAATAATGCTTTCACTTTCAATTGTGATCAATATTTACCTCTATCATGCAGATCAATAATTCTCTCTATTACCAGTGACATTCGAACTATAGAGTCTGAGGTGTGTAAGATGTTATGTGTTTTGGCAACTGCAAGGGTTGCAGGTTATATTTCCTTGTCTACTAGATTGCATAGTTTTCATTTGAATGGTTGCACTCACAGGTATTTGCTGCACCTTACAGTCTGAGATTTCCTAGAATTGACAGGGTGAGATATGACAAACCCTGGTATGAATGTCTTGATGTGCAATGTAAGTAAATTTTATCAACTGCTTCTTAATATCGGGCTCTAATCATGTTCAATGTAATAGTTTAATCTTCTCTATTTAAATTCCCAATTCCTTCAAATTTGTTAAATAGCTTGTGTTGATGTAAATCTGATGGACATTGTAAAACTTCAGGGTTTTTTTTTTTTCTCCTTTTGTGTTGTTGCAGCATTTATAGAACTCGTGCATTCTAGCAATGGCACCACAAAGGCAAGTACAGAGTATGGCAGCATGCAGGATAGTAAATCAAAACGCATTAAATCCTCTAAAAGGGAAGTAAAGAAAAGCATGCCTGTTGTCCCTTCTCATCTAATTCAGACGGATGTTTCCAATGTGAAGGGTGGCTCGTTAATATTCTCAAATATGATGTTTTGTATCCTGGAGAGCTTAGCAACTTTCCTATGATCTGTTCTCTGCAGATTGCTGATTTTTTTCCCGATGTCTTAGAAAATATTTTGTTCTAAATTAAAATTTATCAAAATAAAATGCATTTTTGTTGTGATAAAAATAGTAGGGAAGACATCTTTACATTTACGAAAATATTTTATGTTGCTTTACCCTTTAATTTTTCTAAAGGTGGAAGACATCGTAAGAGCTTTAAGTAGTAATCCTGCATATCAGTTATCCTAGGTTATAACTGGATTGGAAAAGAGCATGGCTTCTCTTCCTTGCAGTGCAGCCGTGGTGCTGCAAGAAGAGAGGAGAGATGGGGGGTGGTCCACAGCCATGGCCCCTCCTCTTCTCTCTTTCTCTATCTGTACAGTACCTCAGCTGCACGGAGGAGAAGCTAGGGAGATTTAAAAGTATTGAGGGTACAATAAAATTATCCTTGACAGATGCAGATTTTGTCAATGTGCCTTCATCCCATTCTCTTGATTCCTTGCACAAGATGATTGCTGAGAATGGGGGAACTTTCTCCATGAACTTGAATAATTCAGTCACCCATTGTGTTGCAGCAGATAGCAAGGGTATTCTCTCCCTCTCTCTCTGCCCCCTCCCCTATCCATCCCTCTTCCTTTTTTATGTGCAGGTTCATGAGAATGCAAGCATGCAAAAGGGCAAAGTTTTATTTTCCAAATACATAACAGTGTCTTCTGGCAGGTTTTAAATTTGAAGCCGCAAAACGTCGTGGTGATATCATTCATTATAGTTGGATCTTAGATTGCTGTACGCAAAAGAAGCTTATTCACTTACAGCCAAAGTGAGTAGTGTTGTTGAGCCTAGACTTAGCTTCATTAAAAGCATTTCTGATGATGTATTCCTCTCAATGGTCTTGTTTGAAAGGCACTTCCTTTTCCTTTCTGAACTCACAAAGAAGAAGTTATATGAAGAAATTGATGAGTTCTCAGACTCATACTACTTGGATCTTGATTGTGCGGACATCAAGCAGGTAATGTTAGCTTGTTTATCCTTCTCTAGTGTTCAAAATCCTTTACTCTGTATGTTAAATATGGAAACACAAGGAGCAAGTAGAGGGGAGGACCCAAGTATATTTGATAATTACTCTGGGCTGGATAGTTTTATCTTGGCTTCTTTGGTGCTTTGCATGTCAAAATGAGAGGGAGAGAGTGTATCTTGCCCTAATATATTACTTTCCATCATATTTATGATTATGTCTATTATCCCTATTAGAATGGAGAGCCATTCCCCTTCAAAAATTATTAGCCCTGTTAGGAAAGAAGTCACATGGAAGTTGGAGTTGAAGGTTGAGTTTGTCTGCGGTCAAACTGGGGTATACTTTTCCCAATTAAATCCAATTCCCTTTGATTTTATCATGTTCGGTGCTGGTTTTAATGATGTATGATATCCTTCTGAACCTTTTGATAGAGGTAACATCTCAATTTCCTTTTTGTATGGACCTTTTTGCTGTAATAAGGTGGGTTGTACACATATTGATTACTTGACTGATATGACTTTATTTTTTCCTTAAATAAATAAAACCAACCTCAATATCGATTAAAAAAAAAAACTCAATCATGTGCCAGTGTAGTTGCAACTTAATTCTGTTTTTTTTTTTTTCCTCCTCTAGCTCTTCAGCAATATTCCCAGATCAAAAAAAGATGTCAGCACTATCAACTATTACAGGAAAAAGTACTGCCCAAATGATAAGTGGTCTCACTTTCAAGAATGCTCCATTTATCTCCACACTTTTTTGCCACCTTCGTAAGATAATCAAATTATTTACCTTAGCATTTAAATACTTACAATTTAGGATTTTCATGTTATTTTTCTGTCTCACTAAACAGCTTACTGATTATTTTATTTTTTCATGAAGGAAAGGAGATTGGGGAGTTCTGTTGGGACTTTCTCTGAGGAGATTGCAGTCTGAAATTCTCATGAGTGGTGGCAGAGTTACCGATAGTCCCACTTCTGCTACGCACTTTGTGGCCTTCTCGGTTCCAGGATATAATGTAGACTTCAAAGAAATGTTAGCAAGGTTAGCTGCTTGTCTGTCATCTTGTTATTTTTTTCCTAAAAAAAAAAAACAAAAGAAAAGAAAAGCGAAATACATTAGAGACTAGAGAAAAAAAATCTTAGTTTGGGTAGCATGATGGAATGTCTATTCGTGAAGGAACTCATCCGTTGCTTCCCGAAGAGTCTTCCATTGACGCCATAAGTATTGGGAAAAGGGAATTTCTTTATTTGAAATCAGTTTTCTGTATGTATTTTTGTTTTATTTTTTCTCTCTTATTTAAAATAGTATATATTTAAAATGTATTGATTTAATTACGACCACACTAGTTGGTCATTAGTTAGTAGTATATCAGCAACTCTACTGAGGCTCACTAAATTCCAAGTTGCTTAACTCAGCCATTGAGATCTATTGTGATGCTAAATGGGCTGGTTTCATTTCACATAGGAGGTCAACTTCTGTTAATGTGCCTATGCATGGGAGAATCTAGTTGCCTTGAGAAGTAAGTAGTCTCTTTGGTTACTATTTTCCTTCCCAGAGGAGTTGCTTGCCACCAAGCCATCTGCTCCGTTCCTGACGTCTTTGCTGGATTATTAATCCCATGCACCTGAATTACCCTATATTATTCATCAAGACCTCTCAAATACTTCTGAATTATCTTTTTTTCTTATGGAAAGCCCCAATACTCGTTGATATTTACAATATTGAGTGTAGGATGCTCTATTGACCTTTGGATAATAAAATTATTAATATTTTGAGTTGTTTATTGCATATAGAAGCATCTTAATTGATGGATGAGAAATCACAACACTGGAATCATGAGTTACAATTGAGTTAACATTGTAAACCATGTATTTGTGATGGCTGTGTCATCTCGGCTTTTCATGAGTCTATCCTGTCATCCTGACATGAAATCATTTTATTCCTTGTAATATTATGTGCTAAAATTTTATTTCTTTTGTGGTTTGCGTTGGGTGTTCCTTTTGCAGGAAAACTAACCATGTGTTTGTTCTTTTTCTTTTTCTTCCTTACTTGGGGGTGGGTGAATGCTCAACCATATATAGTTTCACTTCAGTTGAAGGGAAATTTCTGTCGAGCAAGAGGTTGCATGTTGTTGGATCTCAGTGGCTTGAAGATTGTTTAAAACAAGGCCGAAGATTGCCAGAGCAAACATATACATTGAAGCCCAGCGGAATAGAAGAACTAACTGCTGAAGACTGGTAAGTTAAAATATATGGATGATTAGCCACACGTTTGCGAGATATGTTGTTTGAGAAAAGAAAATTTTTTGAGAAGCTAATGAAATGAATACAATGAATTTGACAACACCTTCAGTGATACTAATAGTTGCAAGTATGAAATGCCAGGGGAATAATGAGTAAGCGGACATTCTTAGGGTTTTTTTATAGGATTAAAAACATTTTCATATGTTACTTCACTTAAAAAGGTCCATTTGATAGACCATTTGGTATTTTAGGCATCCAATGCTACTTTAATGAATTTAGCTGTGTTAATTTGATACCGTGCAATAGAAATGCAAAAGCTAATTGACATAATGGTTGTGTCCCAACTGTTTCAGCAAGTATGACTTGGCTTCAGAGGGTTATTGTGGTGCAAATAATGTAGAAGAGCAAAGTTCGTCACTTGTCTCTGAAAACAGAAGTCAGCTGAGAAGTGCAAAAGCTGTTGATGAAACCTTGGTGTCTGTGGAGAAGTGTGGCAAAAGGAAACGAGGAAGACCTGCAGGCATAGGCAGTAAAATGGTTAAAACAGCTGGCAACCAAACTCATCGATCACGAGCACGTATTGGAATAAGGCCTGCAAAAATATGTGAATATGGAACCGATGAAAGTGGTTCTCATGATGAAAAACCATGTGCTGGTGAGATTGACACGAGAGAATTCAGTCTTGACTCTCACAATGGCGCAAAAGTCCCTGAGATTGTGATGTTACAAAATTCTGACCCATCAAAACGAGACGATGCAGTTAGGCAAGAGGTTTTGAAGGACGGTGAACATGAAGAATATTCTGTTCCCGAAATTGGAAAGACGGAGCAGCATAATGACCAAAACAGTAGGACTGAAAAACTTGAAATTATGGCTGATCCAATTCAGGCTATGCTTTTTGACATGTTTCCTAGCCTTGCGACAAAGGAAGTTGATAAAACAAAGAATGAGAATGTTGATGATAAGCCACCGGAGCAATCCAATGCGGGGCCTACAAGGAAAAAGAAAGTTAGCTATAAGGATGTTGCCAGTGAGCTGCTCAAGGATTGGTAGAATATCTTCTCGTTGCAATGCTATGTATCGTGTCTTTTCTGTACCAAAGTCTATCTTGCTAAATCATCATTCACTTTCTAATAATTTTGTAAAAAGAAAACATAATTATTTATCCTTATAATTTTATCGAAATCTGCTTTTACGTAATTTATTTTCAATGTTTTTAGTTTTTATAATTCATGTTATTTAATATTGCTTGAGATTTAAAAAACAAATGTCATTTAATCTTGTTGAAATTATAGAGATTGATAATACTAAGAAAAATTATAGGAATTAAAGATAAAATCTAACAATTTTCGTTATTTTTCTTTGCACTTCTGACATTCATACTTTGCTTGCTCGATAACAAGTTGTTAAGAGTTTGGGGGATGATGATTGCCATCATTCGGCCTGAATTTAAGCCCTCTCTTAGGTGTGGGGTGGGTTTTTCTTCTCTGCCCTTTTACTCTACTGTCTCTCCATTACAAATTTGAACTATTCAAGTTAAGTTTGTATTTTTAAAAATCATTAAATCTAAATTTTCAAATTCAATTTAACAGTTTAGATTTATACTGATTTTTTCCTCTCTTCTTTGCAAAGGAGAAAATCAACTTCCTTTAGTGCATGCAGTCCTAGAAATCAAATAAATTTACAAGCTTTGCACTAGATCTAAACAATTGAGTTTTGTTTGAGGTAATGAAATTTCATTTCTAAAGTGTCATAATATTGATTTGGCTATTGAAATATAATTTTTAAGTTTCACATGCATTTTTTTCAAAGTCAATAATTCAAATGAATTGAATTTATTTGAATAAAATTTAAAATACTCTCATATATAAAAAAGTACATAAAATTATCCCTTACTTTTACCTCATAAAGCTTCTGAACTAACTTGAATATTCAAATTATTAAATACTATTTTATTTCATTTTTATTTTTTATCTAATGTCAATTTTTATTTAAAAAATTAAGATTTTAAATTTTTACCTTAATTTTATATTATTTTATTAATAAAAAATTCAGATATTTTGACTAACCACATTTGAGTTCCCAAATTTCTTCAGATTAACAAAAGCTAAAAAAAAAAAATATATCTTAACTGTCAAAATCAATCTTAAAATTTTTTAAACTTATTCAGACTAACCTGTCATTAATTTTTTTTCTACAATTAAAAGTACCATTTTGTCTTTCATAAAGCATTAAAAAATATACAATCTCAACAACAGACTCAATTATAGAACAAGCCTACTTTAAAAAATTTAAGAAAATCCTATTAAATAACAATGGCAATCATTTTTTTTAAAAAAAAAAAAAAAAAACCTCCCCCGCTACACAATCCAGTAAAAGCACATTAAAGGAAACTACAGTTTGGCCATAAAAAGCGGCAGTATATACGTTGTAAGGATGCCCGCTGTTTCAAGAGCAGTTCATGAAATTACAACAACGTGATGAATGATAGGATCACCAGCCATATTTGGCTTGTGTCTCAGTTTTTGTGAGCATGCCCCTCGAACGCCTCTCAGCAAGTTCCGATTCCTTCTGTTTCATATCGAAGTACAGTGAACCTATTTGATGCTTCCTTCTATGCAGCTTCGAAGGCTTACCCTTCGCTGAAACAGGCTGCAAGGAGAGAAAATGTTCAGCAGAATAAGCTTAATACTCACTAAATGGAACACGAAATTCAATTTATTGCAAGTTGCTTTCTTTACTATGCTCTCCTGTTATGTGGAGTGTGGATATTTTGTTTTGGTAACAACATGGGGCGATCCTGTTCTATGAAAATTGTTTACAAGGATTAGATTCTTCCAGCAATTTCCCCCGTCATGCATGATTCACGTCATAGACCAAGCTAGACCATAAGAGTTAGCAAGCTACACACCCCTCAACCAGAGCTAGCTAATATACATATGCCAAAGAAGGGGGGAATTGTCCTTTGAATATGACATGGTCACCAATTCCTTTCCTGACATAAAAATAATAAGTAAATCTGATACACAATAAATCCCCAATTGGGACGAAGAAGCTCCATGATGAATAAGTCATATACTCCTCAGGTCCTGTACATTAGTTACCTTCTAGAAACATAATCTGATCCATTTTATAAGTCATTAATTGATGGGATATTTTTGTTTCAAATTAAAATTCCCAAACTACCCTTAAAAAGTAAGAGAGAGAGACAGGAAAAATAATAATATATTGCTTGTTTACTTTTTGTTTTTTACTTTAGGGTTATATTGAGAATTTCACTTACTTTTATTCCTTATTGGTATTGATGATGTTAGTAGAAATGACTTATAAATAGAACCAGAGTACATAGTAGATTGATACCAACAAAAGGCCTTGAAACATCTATTTCTATTGAATGAGCATCTAAGAGAAATTTATCAGACAAGATGGAAAGAAGAGCTATGTATATTTCTTCTCAGAGACATGGAATTTATTCAGGAAAAGCTTTAAAGGTAAATTACAATGACGCAGGAGGAAGAGAAGACATATTTTCCAGAATTAACCACAAAAAAAGATAAAAACCAAAAGCACCAAAGGAAACACAAACTCTCCAATTCCAAAATAAAAATCACCACAAAACGTCCTTGAGCCGAGAAACCTGATAAATGCAATTACAACTATTCTTTCCCAAAGCAGCTCAAAAACAAAAAAAAAAAAAAAAGAATTCCAGACATACACACCACAACACTTTTAGGATTAGAGATTTCCATGTAGTTTTGGCCATTTTTTTTCCTTAAAAAATTTTAAAATCTCATAAAATTAAATCCTCCATGAACTCGAGCACACCCGTTGTAACAACTTTGTTCAACCATATATCCCCATTATACCTAATAGAGAAACATAATCTTAACGAAATATTATAAAGGATAATATCTCCCTAGGTTCATAACTCCTAATTAAATTTTAAAGTACCCCAATTGTCTTGCAACAAGATTCAGAAAGTCCCACTGTAAATTTTATCGGTTTCTCAAGTGTACCTCCAATCATTCCTGGTTAAGTGAATTATGTCTCAAGCTCATCAGAGCAAGCATCATCTTGAAGCAAAATAATTTTTAAAATAATTGATTGTGCCAAAATTCAGGTGGCACAATTTTCATTGAGAACAAGAAATCCAACAGAGCTTGCTTTTGACAGGTAACCCTATCACTAATCGAACATAATTTCACATCAAATAGGAATGGATCTGTTAAGGCAAACAATTTAATAACAGAGCCTCACTATTACCCAACTAAACTAAAGCTGACCCCGACAGCCCCATTGATTGTTGGTCAACTGAATTTTGACAGAATCTAAAAGAAATTCAAAAAAGAAAAAAAAAACAAAATGCAACTGTATGAGAAAACACTGAAAACGCAAGCGAACAATACCTGATAAGAAGGCCCGAAAGCTATCCCAGTTAGCTTGACCTGGTCCTCTCTTGGCCGATTCTTAACCAACTCTTCTTGCTTCACTTCAATAATTTCCGAGGGAATCTCACTCCTTCCTCGCTTCCCAGACACTTTCACTCCGTTGTCACTGACCCCAGACATCAGAGGTACTGGCCCGTACGCATCAGCCCAGTTATTTCCATATTGTCCGTAATCACCATAGGCGTTATAAGTTGCATATGTATCATTATTTGCATAGCATGGAATAGGGGTGGCCGTATCAGCAGTCCCAGCCTCCGGCTGACCATCCACACTATGATTAATACCCGACCTATAGTTGCCATAACTACTACTATCCATGTAGTACACCGGATTTTCGTCTGTACCATATTGGTAATTATCATAACTCTCATAACTCCCTCCATTCTGATCAGCACTAACATTATTCTCCGCGGCAGAACCATCAACATTCGATGCTGGTACATCCGCTTCAATTATGGACCGCCGGCCTGAACCAGACGTCGCTTGAACGCCCAATGTAGCCGAATTTCTGGGAGCCGGAATACTGGACAAGAATGACTTCACCGACGAAGTTTGAGGCATAGATTCCAACTTTTTTCTCTCATTTTCTTTACGTTCATCATCCTCGTCTTCATCATCATCATCCAGTTCGCTAGATTTCTTCAAAGGAATTATAGGAGGCCTGAATTGAACAACCTTTTTGGTACTAGGGCCAGAGGCAGAAACCCTAGGAGCGGGTTCTTGCTCGATTTGGGATTTAGGTTTGGGGAGGGAAGAGGAAAGGGAAGTATGCCCGCCAAATTGAGAAGTGTTTATTGAATCCACTTCATAACCATACGTTGAGGTTGCAGCAGACGACGGGTTAATTGAGCTGCTGCTGGGTTGAGGAAGAGACGAAAAAATAGAGGAAGATTTAGCGATGCTTCCGGAGCGAGCTTCTGAGTCATCTTCATCGATTAGAGCGTTCCTGGAACTGGAGGATTGCTTAGGTTGAGGAAGGGATTGAAAGAGGGAAGATTTGGGTTGGGGAGGAGAAGAGAAGAGCGAGCGGGTCTTTGAAGACGTTGGTTCACCAAGCTCAGAGATAGGCTTACATGAAGAGGAAGGGATTGGTATCCGTGGTTGCACTTGTTCTTCTTCGTCAGAAGAAGCGTAGCTTGCTAGCAGGGATTCCATTCGAGAGGAAGAGGATAGGGATAACTCACCAGAGACACCACCAGCGATTAGGCTTTGGGAGGGACAAGGAAGGACGAGAACGAAAGAAGGAGAAAACACAAGAGCGGATCGAGACTTGGGCCTTCTTGGGCTTACAGCACATTTACTTTAACACTCCCTATCCTTTTTTTTTTTTTTGCCCCCTTCATTTCCTTATTATTGACCTTTCAATTTCTATGGCTTTTATCTAACCTTCCAAAACACCCAATATAATTCAATATAAACACACCGTTATTTGTTAAAAAATAAATGCTCTCACATTTTTTCAAACTGTTTAAATTAAAAATTAATTTATAAATAAAAATATTTAAAACACCCAATATTGTATTCTTTATGAATAAAAATATTATTAAAAATTAATTATTTGGGTCTTATAATTTTGACACAGTTATGTTGTAATCTGATTTTTTTAATTTTAACTCAATTATAACTTAATTCCTTAACTTTAACTCTTATAACTTAATACCTATAATTTTAAATATTTAAAATATTATTCTTTATATTTAAAAAATAAAATTATAAAAACTAAAATTATTTTAATTTTTTAGAACAGTTTCTTAAAATTTACAAATAATATACTTATATGTACATTAATATTTTCCCCATTGAAACAGTTTTTTAAATTTCTAAATTGATTGAAATAGGAAAAAATTGATTTTAAACAGTTTTTAATTTTTTTTTGAAGAACATGTTTTTAAATTTATAAATAATATATTTATATATAAATTAATATTTCCCCGTTTTTATTATTTTTTATTTATAAATAATATAATAATGATAAAAAATATTTAATGATTAAATTTATAATAATTTTAATTTAAATAGCTCAAAAAAATGTCATTGCATTTAATTTTTTTTACATATAATGTTATGTTTATTTTAAAATGAGATACTTTGACCTCTCCTATTTTTATCTTAATTATAGATATCTCATTTTTATTTTTAGAACTTGTATGAGCCTCTTCTAGTATAAACAGCTACAAGACACGAACATTTCCTTTATTTTTAAAATTTTAATTTTATTTATTTAATCATTAGTTAATCATTAAATTATATATATTTGACTTTTAAATTTATATGTTTGACTTTTTAATTTTATTTTTATTCACTTAATCATTAATTAATCATTAAGTTATATATTTTAAATTCACTTAATCATTAAGTTAATCATTAGTAAATTAAAATTTTACTTTTAAATTTATATTTTAAATTTTTATTATGTAAATGTATTTATTTAGTAATTAATAAATAACTAAATATATAAATTGGATAAAATAATAGTCAAGGAGGAAGTTAAAAAATTTAACAAATATTTTCATCAAAAAATTTATGAAATAATATTTTAATATATTAAATTACTCAATATAATTTATGCTTATTTTTTAATTTTATTAATTTTAACACTAAACTTTTATATCATTTATTTAAATGCTGACAATATTAATTATTTAAAGTTTTTTAAATTGAGAGAGGGTAGACAATTAAATCATAAGGATAAAGTAGTAATTTTTAAAATTTTTAATATAATTACAAATAAAAAATTAAATATTTTAAAATTTTAATAGAATATTCTGAATGGCGTTTAAGTATAGCTTTTAAAAATGGAGGGAAAACTTCTGTAATTTTTGCCAAATAGGAGAGAGGTCTCTAAATTTTACTCTTTATTTCAATAAAAAATTCAAAAACCGTTTTTTATAGAACAAATTGTTCAGGGAATAGTATTGGATCACAGCTCCCACTTTCGAGGATCAGATAAGAGTAACAAAAACTAAACGGCGAGGGCTCCCTGAGAAACTGGGCAACGTTAAGCCCACATAATACAAAGCGGGATTAGAAATTAGCCCATCAACTGTTTTATTTTTCGCAGTGTCTTAATTACTGTTAAACAGGACTGGATGCAACAAATGAGACAAATCATTAATGACAATGTTTTGAAAAGAAAAACAAAAATAAGCTAGTATAATTGTTGTAAAAAAAAAGAGCTAGTATAATAATATCGTTATAGCTTTAGTTAGAGTAATATTGTCAATTGTAAATTTTTTGTCAACGAAGTTTGTGTGTGAACATGTTACATAACTAGGATTTGTGTAGTCACACTCACATCCAGTATGAGTGTGAAATGTCTTGTCATTTTTGCAGCTTCGTTAGCTTAGATATATGAGTTTTCTCCTGTGAAATTTGTATCCTCGAAGTCGCAACAATTCTATGATCCACTTTTCTCATTTACCAATTAACATATCGATCGAACTTGAGTGTGCAAGCTTTTGAAATTGAAAAACGGGCGTTTAAAAACCCCAAATTAACACTTGATTGGTAAGAGTCAGAGGAAGAGTTATTATCCCAGAATGTTAGGGAAGAAAGATCCTTCATCTAGAAGGAGATTGTGAGAAAAATCTACCCAAGTGATCGTTAATAACTAGGGAATTTTCCTAGTCAAAACTTTGTGATTTCTTGCAAGTGATTATCAGCTTTAATTTGATTATATAAATATGCCATTCTTAATGCTACGATTTAATATGAAAGATATCTCTAGTTTCATTGAACTTCGCTCAATCTCCTCCTCAAACACTTGGCATTATTTTAGACAGTTTGAATTAGATAAGTGCTTCTAGAAATTCTACTGCCTGTAGAACTAACATGAAATGCAACTTTATTGCAAACATCAAACTTAAAACTTAGGTTTTACATAAATCAAAGCATATAGGACAAACCCAAGCTTTCTAAGAAAACAAGATCACAGACTCTCCCATGATGTAAACTTTGAGTGAAACAACAAGAAGAAAGAAGGAAGGAAACCCCCAATTCGTTCACTCTGAAATTCATCGTCGATTAGATGCTCATAGGGCTATCAGGATCATTAAGAGCTGCAATGGCCGTTTGGATTTTTATCTCCAAGAGATCTTTCTCTTCCTCATCTGCCTGAAACGACAAAATGCAAAAGGCAAAGCAACACGACAAAACATAGGTTAGTAGTGTGACAACTACGCATACCTCTCAGTCTGAGGTGGTTGTTAGTTGTATTTTGCCAATCTGGTTTCTGTGTAAACATGAATATGCATGAATCTTGTTCTCGACCATTTTTATCAATCTGATAAATCAATCAAAGGACAATACAATTGCGTATCAGATTTTCCAGTTACTTTCACATTCTATTGGATTATTCAACTTCGCTTTCCAATCAGTATGACTGACAGGACTCTCTCCTAAAACAAATTTTCTTTGGGTTTTAATAGAAAATCTTGCTAATGTTAATTTGATGTATGACTGAGAGTGAGCTGATTAGTTCATTCATGAGCATTTATAATCTTGACCTGAGGAGTTTTTTCTTTCTTTATCTTTCCTTTTTATGGAAGCTAGATTGTCAGAGATTTTTTTTTTAACCAAAAAAATGAAAATAATGGTAAAAATCTCCGGCTTTTCAAGGAAACTTAAATTATTAGCATATCAAATGAAGATTTGGTTAAAAAAATTAAAATAACAGAGAATTCATGTATCTTAAAATAAACAGGGCAATTAATTTCGAAGAGAGGCTTGGGGTAAGTGTAGCTCCAGAACATAATAAACTGGAAAATAATAGAAGAGACTTGGGGTAAGTTGTTATTTTTTTTTTTTCTTTCGGGATAACCGATTTGGGGTAAGTTTTGCAATGCGGGGGCAAAAGCATCTAAGAATAAACTCGAAAATAATAATTATTAATTTAATATATAAACATTTACTGCAGTCAAAATTTAATTTCACCATAAAAGCATGTGCGGACTAATCAATCAATATTCATGTGGAATCTTATTATTGAGAGAGGATTAAATTCAGACAAGAATGATCTATAATTTCTAATATCAACTTTAAAAAATCATTTTTTATACTAAATCTGAAAAATCATTAAATAATTTACTCTTGGTAGAATTGGTGCAGTATCTTATATATAAGTTATGAATAATGTTGTATAGAACCCTTAGATAATCTATGTAATAAAACCAAGAAAGAGATATTATGCTGTTTGTTGAATGTTGATCTGATTTTTTGTCTCTTCTGATTTGGTTAAATGAATGAAACAGCCGATTTTATTTGACTTTGAAATAAATGTTTTTAAGACACGTTTTTTGCACTGGATTTAATCTTATTAGTGGGCCAAAAATTGTGAACCCTTGATGGAGGTTGTGAAAACTCTTCTCTACTGGTCCACGACAAAGCCCAGCCGAAAAGAAATACGCAGTGGATTACTGTATTAGTGGTCCACGATGAGAATGTTTTTGTCCTTTTTTTTCATTTTAATCTTGCCCAACATGTGAAAAAAATATTTAAAAAAAGATAGTAATGTATAGTATAATTTAATAAAACAATATGATAACAAAATTTGAAAAAAAAAAAAAATAAACTATTCAAGATAAAATCAAATCAAATCAAAATTTTATAAAACGCCATAGTTTATGAATTTGACCTTGATGGTTCGGAAAACAACATGATTAGACGAGACCACTTAAACAACATCTTATTAAAAATGTTAGCGTGTGAGCGGCGGGCCACACTCCATAGTGCGGCGGACATGAATGAAATGATATTTTATCCTTTTTATGAAATATATATATATATATATATATATAAACCGCTCCCGTTCAGCTTTTCAAATTTCAATTAAATAAGTAAGGAAAACACAATTTTAAATCCTTATACTTTCTCTATATTTTGTTATACATTCTTACATATTTTTTTAATATTTTATATTTTTATATTTTTATTTTTTAATATTTTAGATCCCTTCAAAACTCCTAAACTTTGTTCATATCGGGACCTAGAAAATCAAAAAATAAAAGTATAAGGGCTTAAAACACCTAAAAAAATACATGAACTTACAGCAAAATGCGAGTAAATTATATGAACCCAAAATTATATTTTCCCAACAATTAAATTTAAATATTTTTATTCAAAGAAAATGAAAACAAAGTAAAAATATTTTTATTATGAAAAATAGTAGACATTTTTTAAAAAAATAGAAAAGAAAATAAACTGTTTAACTTGTACACTCCCTCTAAACATATTTATAAGTTACTTAACATATTTTTCTAGGATCAAAGAAAGTTTTAAAATTTATTAACTTTGTCTAAAAAATTATTAAATTTTCAACATAAACCTATTAAGTATTACATATTTTAATAACATAATTTTTCTTCTCAACATTTAATGAAAGATAAAATAAAAAATTTTTAATAAAAATTTAATGATATAATTTATAATTAAAATTTTAAAAAAATCTCTCAATGTTTTAGAGAGTACATGGTTTCTTGAACAGTCAAGATAACGACCGTAAGGATCCGTGTTGAAGAGTTGTAGTGAGTAAATCCTAAATAATGTGTGGACCGAATAGGAAGGTTCCCGCGAAGAATCGAATGGATGAAAAGACTAGAGGACGTACGAAATTGGAAAGTGTGAATATGGGAGAGTGTTGTTTTGTTGTGGTTGACTTGTGATCTCGATACCGCGTGCGATTTAAGACGCACATGGACCATATGGTCCTATTACAGTTGCCAATGATGACGCCAACGCCACATTTTCACCATAGCAAACACGTTTTAATACTCGTTTTATGATTCTTAAAAGTTTAATTTTGTCCCCTTCGGTGCAGCAACCCCGCAATAAAACCACGTTGCGAATCTTGGGAAGTTTCTGGTCAGGAGAGCCTCAGTTTGAGGACTCCTGCTCCGAATTGGTTTGTTTACCTTTCTCGCACGAGCTAAATATGTTTCAAGTGGTCTAATGGGGGTGAGATATTTTGTTCTAGGTGTGGCCTCTTGGCCGATCCAATTTTCAAGTCAAAAGGTTGACTACTTGTGTCTGTTTTCCACTAATTTAGATCATTTTGAAAATCACAGCACGTGACAGGAATGTGTAGAATCAAACCGAAATCATAAATGAAACCAATGTAATTCATCAATGGAATTCAGTCTACTAGCGACTCTGACTTTTCAATCTTTTACATGTTTATCTATTTTGGTCTCTTTAGTTTATTTCGGCTTTTAATATAAACAAAAAAAAAACCTAAAATAACCTACTTGAATCAAAATTTTATTATATGACTTCTCTAAAAAAAAAATGTGACATGGGTAAAAACCTAATGAATATTTCATTTGTAATAAAAATGTTTATATGTTGGTGGATGCATGCTAAAAAAATTTATGGATATTTTAGTTTAAAATTACATGGATTTTTTTGGTTACATTAGAAAAGTTTGAATCTGAACTTTTATTTACACCTCAGAATTACCATGTGAATTAGCTTCATCTAGCATGTACTTAATTACAAAAAACTGAGAAGATGGGTTTCAATTGGCCAAACCCAACCAAACAAACCGAGCTAAACCAAAATAGTTCGGTTCAATTTGTTTTTATCATTTTACTATGATCGGTTAATTTGATTTTTAAGTATTTTCCAACCAAACCAATCCCTTACTTACACCATTAATTTTTTCACCTTGTTTCTAAAAATATTCAATACCTTAGAGCTATACACGAATAACATTTGTGATTTTTTTAAAAAATAACCAATATACCATAGAAGATTTTAAATATAATGTTTTTATGATTTAAACATTTAATGTATTTTTTTTTTAAATATCACTTGGAAATATTTTGATTTAATGGTTATGCATAATTTATTTTTCTATTAATATCGTATTAATCAATAACAAACAAACAGAAACGAGGATGGGTCGTATTGATGTTATATAGTATATGATCGTAAAAGTTAAATTTAAAATACTATCATTATAATATATATATATATATATATTTCTTTTTCAAACCTAAAATTCGAGAACGGAAAGGGGAGAGAGGAAAATTCGGTAAAAGATTTCAATGATAGTGATTTTGGTAGGTTAAGTATGAAGTTTTAAGTTTGAATTTATATAAATATTAAGTTCCACAATGTTTAAAGCTAACTTAATAATAGTGAATATGATATGATATAAAAAAAGGAACAAGGGAAGGATGAGGATAACATTTTTAATTGGCATTAAAGGACTTGAGAAATGACCCTGGAAACAGAGCAGCGAGTCATCCCTGATGGGAGGGACACCTAATCGCTCCAAGAGACAAGAGGCCCCAAGATTGACCTTTTAAAAAGGCTTTAATTAATTAAAGGTCTCATATATTGCAGAGGGACCCTTACCCTCACTTTTCCTCACTGATTCGTTTTTATTCGGACACCCTAAATGATTTTACAGCCTTATCATTCCTAAAATACTAATATGTTTCCACTACTGCCTTCCCCACTTTTCCTTTCCCATCCCATCAATTCCCACTCATGTAGGCCCCAATCCAATGTCCTAAATCTCATTCTATGGGGATTTTTCCTATTATATGGAAATCAACATCAACCCATAAATGTAATAAATATATTTTAACCGGTTTAATAAATCATTTTTTTATGAGGCTTGATCACGAATTAATTATGATTTTAGATCATTAAATTAATATCTTAATTGATTCAATAATTATTCTAGTTTTCAGTATTTTTTAATTAATTAATTATGTATTTATGAAGAGAATAAAAGGGTGGCATCGTGATGTGGTAATAAACTGGGACAGAATAAAGGGGATGCAAAACTGACCTCCACGAAGACTGTCTTTACGAGCCTGCCAGAGAAACAAGTTATATTGGCCGTAATGATCTTCAGCTTCAGAGATTCGAACGCTTCGCACAGTTTCACCATTGTGTTCGTCCTTTTGCTGCACGTCAAACTCACCACGATCGTCTTCTCTCCCATGTGCGTCACCTTCAGCTGCTCCGGGTCACATCCAATCCAAACCCGCCAATTTTATAATTTCAATAATGGAAGGAAGAGAGAGAGAGAGAGAGAGAGAGAGGAGAGAGGGGTTGGGGATTTCGATTCAATTAACAGATTAATGATTACCTCGAGGACTTCCACTGGGGAATTTCTTGAACTGATAGCAGAATCGTAAAGCTGCTGCCCTGTTTTCTTCTTCTTGGACCTGAGCAGGACCGGGAGGTCTTGCTCGTAATCGATATCGCTCGAGCTCTGCTTCGTGATCTGCTTGCCGGATTCAAGCTCCGATATCTCCGCCTCAATACTCCTCTCCTGTTCGTGCAAGTGTTGGATGTAATCGATCGCATCCTTAATTATGGAAGCCTTGTCCATCTGTATATTCATGTCCAAGGAAACGATCAATCCCTTGTGGTCGGCAGTATGAGATTTAGTTTTACTCGGATTTGATGTTACCTTGCTAATGTTGGGGACGACGGCTCTGAGAGCGAAGAGTCTCTCGTTGAGCTTCTTCCGGCGGTTTCTCTCGGAGACAATGTTCTTGGAGGCGGCGGAAGAGGCGGCGCCGTCCGGCGAGCTGGAATCGTAGTAACCGGAGAAGGCCTCGTCCCATCCCCAGCTGACAGCTCAGCAAATGGAATCAGAATTGGAATATTTGAATCTGAGGGTGAATTAAGCGCAGATAGGATGAAATGGAGTGAATTGAATTTTACCTGTCGAGCTCTTCGGTTTGAAGGAACCTGTTGGTTTCCCAGTAATGCCTATACTCTTCGCCGATGTTCTCCATGGTTTTGGGGAGAGGTAGACAGAGACAGAGACAGGGTGAGAGAAGAGGTGTGTGTGGCGTGTTTGAGGGGAGGGACCTAGCGCGTGAAATATTTTTCCGTTTTCAGTGAGGGGTCGGGAAGTGGGGGGTATATATAGTGAAGGAAGAAGGTTGGATTTATTTAAGCACGTGGGAGGATGCCATATGAAGAGAGAGAGCTTATGAATTGTGACGTGGCACTTGTGTTACTGCTATTGTGGGGAATAGGCCCTTCCGGGTGATTGGGTGCTTCCCAGAAGCATCTATTCCCTTCAAACCTCTGTCCTCTAGGTCCTAACGCCGCGTTTGAGGCCTCGACTCTCTGGTCACTCCAGACGAAAACTATTATTATTATTTTTATTAAACATTAAGCAAGTCTATAGGGCAAAAAGAAACGATAAGAAATTCCAACTCTTGTAAAATTAGTATTAAGGAAGAATCTTTGGTACAGTAAGTCTTAAAATATATAATTGATGATAGATAAGTCTTTAATAAATTTTTTAAAAAAAATGAGTTGCAAATCTTAATCTCGATACACAGTTACAAATTAATAATTATATTTAAAATTTAAATATTTTATTTATAATTAAAACTACTAAATTTACAATTATTTTAATTAATATTTATAATTTATTTTTAAAAAGTTACAAACTTACTGCCTCCTTTTGAAAATATAATGTATTTTTTTTGAAGAATTAGATGTTTAAAAATGTAAGATATTTTTAGTTTTTTGAGATGTAATTGTTATATTTTTTTCAAAAGTACATTTATTGATAATTTTATATTTATTGTAAGATATTTAATAGAGATAAATATAAAAAAATAAAGTTAGTTAAAAAGTAGGTAACTATTTTATTGGGAGGTGAGATTTAGTTAAAAATACTTTATATTTTTAAATGAAAGGAATAACTATTATTAATTTTTCTTTTAAAACTTAACAGCCATTCCCTCCACACAATATGCAATTCCAACTCTTATAAAAGTTGCATCAAATGTTAAATATTAAAAATAATTTAAAAATTAAAGCACTTCATTCTTATTGTATGAAATATAAAACTTGGGAGTAATAATAATTCCTATTGCTTAATTAAATTTTTTTAATTTCTCACATGTGTCCTCTTGTTGGGAACAATTTTATTTGAAATACAGTCCAACATTAAATATGAGTACTTCTTTTAATAAAAATTTAAATATTAGTTTGTTATATTGTGAAAAATTAATTTCTTACTCAACTCCATTGGTATAATAATTATATTTTTTATCATAATAATGATAATTATATATGGTGGCCTAGCTGGGGGAGAGCACAGTCAATTTCAATTAAATAATGAAATTTATTTGTGGTGCGCCGGGTCTGTAAGAATTTCTCGCAACTTCGTCCAGAGGAAAAAAAAAAAAAAAAAAATTTCTCGCAACTGTGCGTGTCATGGCCATTGGTCTACGGTCTACGACTCGGTTTGTTAAGAGCTTGGTCCAGCTCAGCTCGTTACTCCTCGGACCACAGCAACGCGTACTTGGCATTGCCTTTTTACGCAATTAATTTTATGCTCCGTCTTCCTTGCCACGTCTCCAATTACTAATTTTTATTTCAATTTGACATGGTCTCTCCTTGTAGTCAAATTTTAAAAAAATGCGTATGTATTTGTACTATTTTATTGTGAAATCACAACTGTTAGCAAGAGTAGAGGCAGAAAATTTTATTTATTGGCTGAAATTACAAAATACAAGCATTCATGTCAGGAATTTCAATAACTTCACTTTTACACAAAAAAAAAGGTAAATTTTTTTAGAAAACATTTCCAACCTTAATCTTTTAACTTTTGAATGAATAATTTTGCAATAAATATCAAACATGTTGCATTCGAGATGTATTGAGATTTTTATTACAATGCTTGAAAGATTTTGTTAATAATTCACATAATTTCTTTTATTAAATGTGAAAAAAAAAAGCAAAAGCATGTATATATAGCATTATCTTATTAAGAATAAGTAAATCGTGTGATAACTATATTTTCGAGAACTAAAGTAATTATAGTTTTTATACATGGATAAAAGATTATTTATAATTGAAATAAGATCATTGCCTAGTGTGTCTAGGCATGGGCAGCACTACATTATAACCAAGGGAGGCAAATGCACCTTTTGAGTTTTGAGAAAATTATAAAAAAGTTTATATATTTTAATATTTTTTTTAATTCAAATTTTTTGCACCCCTTAGTGCAAGTTTAAAGTTTTTTGGTTCAATTTTTTTAAATTTTTTTAAGTTATTAATTTTAAAAATGTTGCACCTAATAATACAAGGTCTTGGCATTGCCATTGTGTACAAGCCACTATAATGTGATACTTAGCCCCTTCCTGTCTGAATATCATCATTGTCAATTAAATTGACAATTTAAAATGCAAAAATATTTTATAATTTATCATTATCCTTATAAGAAGAACACACAATATTAACAATTACGTTTAAGTTTTAAAAGAATGGGTATACATCAACTACTTCTTTACCCGCAACAAAAAGAGTTATTTATAATTAGCAACCTAAACATTGTGCATAATATTACCAGAAAAATATAAAACCCTTACATTTTTTGTATATCTATTTATAGCGGGTTATTAATCTATTTTTGTATGCATGCTCAGTATCTTACATCATTGGATATGTTTTCTTATAGCTCATTTCGGAAACTGATTAGTGATTAGAGTAATTTGTTATCGTTTTTACTTTTTGAATTGATGGTAATATATTAACACATGAAAGTTACATAATTGCATGACTAGATCATATCATTTGAGCATTGTCGATCAGGCTAAGTTAGGATAGCTCTCCCAAAAATCTTTTTTGCATTTACATATATTTGAAGCTGAGATTTTGTGCTTAAACGATCATAATCACTTTTACTAAAAGTAGCACTTATTAATGACAGATCTTGTACTATATTCGACATTACAGTACTAATTTACTTATTTTCATCTAATTAGAGGTAAATTATAGCTGCAACTCATCCTGTGCCCATTCAGCGCTCGGCAGGGAGCTTTTTTTTTTTTAAAAAAATAATTTGCATTGATTTCATAAAAAATAAATTAATTATAACACAAATATTTATTTAAAAAAAATTGCACCAACCATGTTGTGCTTTTATCATCTGCTAGCTATTGATCACAATCATGTTTGGCGGCAGGCTTTTAAATATTACTTTTTCACCACCTACATGTATTTTTTTTTTAAATAATTTTGTTCAAGACACAATTTTGATACTTTAAGCATGCATGATGCATTTCTAATGCAAGACTCTCTTTTTTAACTTGGTGATTATATTTTAGTGACTTCAATTATTATTATTATTTTTTACCTGAAAGATATGTTTTTTTATGTAAGATGAAATGGAAAGATACTTTTATATAAAACTAAAGCGGAACAACACGACAACAGCACTACGCAGGCAAATTAAAGCAAAAACACAGCATCGAAAGCAACACAACTTATTTTTAGGATAACACAGTTTTCAGTCCTTTTTTTCTCAGGAGGGATTATTTATTTTCATTAGAGACTTTTGCAAGCCAACAATAACTTATTATATTTAGGAAAAATTAAATATTGATTGACATACTACAAATTTGTTTGGATTAATGTTTGTAGAACTATATTTTATATAAACTATAGTTTGTAAACTAAAATTGAGTTAAAAGTTAGCTATGGTAATGTAATTTATATTTAGATATTTTTTTGTAAAAAGTAAATTTCACAAACTAAATCTTTCTCTGGATGATATAATTAAAAACCAAATTTAGATATATAACAACTAAAAAAGACATATGTTGGTAAACAAAAATAAAAATTATACAAGTTGTATCCCTCTCTCTCTCACTCACTCATATAAGTATGCAATTTGATAAATGGAAGAAATGATATTAAAATTGTAATTATAATTATAATTATAAAAATAAAATATTTAATGTATTAATATGAAAAATATTTTTAAATACTAAAAAACTTAACTAGGTCTATTTAAAGAATATATATATATATATATATAAAAGTTACAAATAATAAAAATGTTAAATTTATAAATAATAAAAATATCAAATTTCAAAAGAAAATGTGGAATGATAAAAAAGTTGTTCAATGAATTTAAAATGCATTAAATGCTGCCAATGGTTAAATTTCAATGTAACTAATGTAAAATCTTTAAAAATTAATTTTTGACATAATTATAGTTTGATAAAAAAAACTCATTTACCATTACCCTTACACAAACATTTTTTTTTATCTCTAACTAGCTTTTAAACTTATAAATTATAGTTTAAGTTAACTAAATAGAATTTCAGTACTTCAAGTTCATCTAAATTAGGATATGTTTGGAGTGACAAGGCATTTCCCTTAAAAATATATCACATTTCCAATATAAAACTAAAATCTAAAAAAATGGCATTTCCAACATATTGTCTTTAGTCTTACATACTCCCTTCATTCAAAAATGTAAGGTATTTTTTAAAAAGTTAGATGTTAAAAAATATAAAGAATTTTTAGTCTTTTGAGGTGTAATTATTACATTTTTTTTAAAGAACCCCTATTAATAAATTACTTTATATTTATTATAGGATATTTAATAGGGATAAATATGAAAAAGTAGAGTTAGTTTGAAAGTGAGTAACTACTTTATTGAGAGGTGAGATTTAATTAAAAATAAACTTAGACATATTTATTATAAGTTTTTTTTTTAAAAAAAATGATGCACTCCCTTCTTTTAAAAATATAAAATATTTTTAACCGAATCTCGCTTCTAATAAAGTAGTTACTTGTCTCTAAATTATCTATCTTTTTATATGTATTCTTATTTAATAATGTATTTCACCCTGAAATAAATATAAAATAATTTATTTAATAGGAAAATGGTTGTACTTTAAAAGATTAAAAATGCTTATATTTTTTAACATCTAACCCTTTAAAAAATTTCTTATATTTTTAAATGAAGGAAATAACTTTTTGAAATCATTTTACATGAAAATATTATTAATTATTTACTTTCAATTTTATCCTTTCACAATTTTTTTTAAAAATGATGTATTTAAAAA